TTCTCTCAATTAGTTCTGTCGATATTCAGTAACGCAAAGATAATTTTCACTCAAGAGGCACTAACTGAAATGTTAAGTCGCTTAACTACAAAAAAATGGTCAAAATTTTTTCCAGAGTAGAGTTACGAACAATCCAAATAATTCGATTACTAATTGTAGGCCCCAAAATAGGTTGCTGTCTTTTTTTTCCCAGAGCACTCACGAGAGGAGGTGCGATCATTACATGACACCCTGTATATATGAATATATTATGTAAAAACACTAATTATTTTATTATTATTGAACTAAAAGAAAAGAAGAATTTCTTAGACGGTTTTCGCACAGGAAGCTTCTCTTAGACTAATTAGAAAAGAATTCCCAATATTTGAATGAAAACACGGTGCTAGCTTTTTCTTTGACACAGCGAGTTACTTTGTAAAACTTGCAGAGTCGACAAATAAAATGTGTTTGCTTTTCTAGGTGGTATACCTGGTAATTTTCACTCTGTAAAATGTTGTCTTGCAAACTACAATATGACCGCTATTAACCTCTCTCATAGAAATTTGCGAAACTAGATCACTAGAAGATTTATGGGCAATTCTTTTACCTTGAATATGGCTCCGTTTTGACAAACGGGATCACACATTGACAAAAGTAAAGCCTAACCTACAATATGCTGCGCTAGAAACGTTCTATTTTGCAGTCAATAAATACGTTTAAAAAATTTGCGCAAGTGGATAAATTGTCTATTATACACTGTACAATCGTACATTGTCGACAATGTTTTTAAACGTTTCGATTTGTTTATATAAAACAGAATGTTTCTAGATGCAGAGGGCATATTGTAGATTAGGCTTCGGAGTTTACAACACATGTAAAACTCGGTTTTTCGATCAATGTCAGTTTATTTTTTTTTCGAAACTTTACACGGTGTATCTTATTTCCTTTGTATTTTAATTCGTCTTCTACTATACTTTTCTCAAAAAAAATAACGTCACGTCTAACGTCATAGATAATGTCAAGCCTGCAAACAGTTCAGTGAACGCGAAGATTTATTACCTTGCGAACACATTATTCGGTACACATTTCTCAGCATATGTACGTTTCCGCCATACATACATTTTTTAACAAAATAATGAATTCTAATTCAAATAGGACAAGATATTCGAGAAATTTACCGTTGTAATCTTTATAATTACATTAGTTCTACTGTAATTATATTTTAGTTATT